ATGGATGGAAAAATATGATGACACTATATTCCGGGATATCATCCGTTCGCTTGTTGAACTCCGACTGGAATCCTGCAGACGTTTCGCCAAAATCTCACTGCGAAGTTGTCGGCGGTGAGTGCGGTATTTATACCCTGCGCCGGAGATGGTATCGGTGCTGCTTGTGTGTGCGGGAGGGGAGGTGGCTCCGCCCCCCGAATTGTCGCGTTGTTAATTTCGCCCGATCGTAGTTGCGATGTCCCCGTTGGCTACTGCGTGTCGCTCTGTTGTTTGATTATCGTTCTCCACGTATTGGATAAATCAGCCTAGTGTGTATTATATGTAAGGTTCTTGAACGCCGTATAGTAAATTAGCTGCTGCCGTTTTTGATCGACTGCCATATTATACCTACATCGCAGTATGGCTTTGTTCCCGGCAGATCTGTCATATCAAATACATTGAGATGCTCGAATCACTGGACATCATCTCTTGGCTCACGTGATCCGGTAGATATTATTTACCTCGATTTCAGCAAAGCCTTCGACAAAGTGCCACATCGACGCTTGTTATTCAAACTTGAAAAGGTTGGAGTGGGGGGTAGACTGTTAGAGTGGATAGCGGCGTTCTTAAGCCACCGGTCGTTCAGAGTTCGAATTGGTAACGCTTCTTCACTGCCACAAAACGTGCCTAGTGGTGTTCCCCAGGGATCGGTGCTGGGACCAGTGCTATTCTTAGTGTACACCGTGGATTTGCTCTCCAGCATTGATTCTCATGTGAGCGCTTATGCTGATGATACTAAATTATTTGGAAATACTTCAACACATGCGGACGTATTGCAGAGAGACTTGAATACTATTTCCAAGTGGTGTTCAACTTGGCTATTGCCGCCGAATGCTCAAAAGTGCTCTGTGATGCATGTTGGCAAGAACAATCCCGGTTTGAATTATTATATCGATGGAAACTTTGTGTCAAGTGTCGATTCTCAGATGGACCTAGGTGTGACAGTAACTAACGATCTTGCGTGGTCTGCACATGTATCAAATATTGCAAAGAAAGCAAACTGCGCCTTATTTTTGTTAAAAAAGTCTTTTAAAAATCCTAGTGCTCGCATCACTTGCAGGTTTTTCACCACTTACATTCGCCCCATCCTGGAATTTGCTTCCCCAGTCTGGAACCCATGGCTATTGCGTGACTGTGATGTTCTGGAAAAAGCGCAAGGAGCCGCTACGCGCTGGCCACTTCAGCTTAGACATACACCTTACGACGACCGTCTAAAAGTACTTAGTCTGCCAACATTAAGTCAGCGTCGGCTGCGAGGGGATCTCATTCAAATGTATAGGTTTGCGCATGACCAATTTCCATCTGACGTGCCGTTTGTGGTCTTAACCAATGATGAACGCCTACGTGGTCATCCATTTAAAATAAGGAAGGAACAATTCAGGACTTCACATCGCCTGCATTTTATAAGTAACAGGACTTTCAATTAATGGAACAGTTTACCCCCACAACTTGTCTGTATTTAAACGTCTCTTGGACAGTGTATTGTTTCACAGCAATAACTAAATGTTTATTATATGTGTTGTGTTACTAACTATCAATGTGCATAATAGGTTTTCCTTTAGTAATAATAATAATAATATATATATATATATATATATATATATATATATATATATATATATATATATATATATATATATATATATATATATATATATATATATATATATATATATATATATATATATATATATATATATACATATTTTTTTTTAATCGGCGCTAGTTTTCGCGGCGGAAAGCCGGTGTGTTAATGCAATAATAAAATCACGTGCTACCGTCACGAGTTTGCGTTAGAAAATTTCATTGGCCTCATTAAAGGCAAACCTTGTTTAGGAACTTCGATGCTCGGTCCTTGGCGCATAATAATTATAACGAGAAGTGGATTAACACACCAGAACTTGGTTAATGCTGCTTTGACGAACAATGAAAACTTTGTTTTTCAGCCAAATCATTAGTCCAGTAGAGTTTGATTTAGTCGACTCGTTACTTTCAAAAAAACGCTGAAATCTATTCTTTTCAATAGCATAAGTTCAACTAAACTCCAGATAACGGTGCGTCCTACAGAGTAGCCGTTGGTTTTTGTCCTGGACTTTTTCGACGATAACTTCCGAACGGTTTGAGCTAGATGCTTCAGATTTTGCTCCTTTTTAACAGTCCACGGGATGCACAAGATATGCGAAAATGGCAGCGGTCAAACATCGGCGTCCATCTTTTTTTTTAGATTTGCGCCTGTTTTTTGGACATTGCTATCAACAACGATAAGTGTTCCAAATTCGAAGCCATCAACTTCAAAATTGGCACACATATTAGGCTTGGTCCTCTAACGGAACCAATTGAAATTGGGGGCGCTGGGGGGTAGAGAAGTATATTAAAAAGGTTGCTCGACGACTATTACGGTGTACTGCATGGTTTCAGAAAAGAGGTACTTTTTCGAAAACTATTTATCCTATTGATAAAATTTATATACCGGGAAACGTGGGAGATCTAGGGCTGTAACTTTTACTTGCGGCATTTTTTTGAATTATGTACAGGGTATGTCAAGTATTTGTAAAAAAAACAAAGAGATCCTGAAAATTGGGTGCTCCAGATATTTGAAACAATATAATTGGGAATCGCTATTATTTGTAAAAAAATTTAAATTGACAAAAGTTTGCCGTAACTTTGAAGTTCGACGAGATGTGAAAGACACTTCATAAAGGGTGCAGGTACAATAAAATTACATCGATTTTGCGAAAGTTCCATAGTAGTCCGCAGGCAAAGCGGCTTCTTTCTTTTGGAAATAAAAAGCTGCTCCGCTCTACTTGCGACGAACTTCCCCACCCAGTGACGATATTTCGAAAGCACTCTTGTATTTTTAACATGATTTAAATATGGCATCTGTTATCGCCTATGACATCGAACAAATTTCACAAGGTGTTGTTTAATTAATATAGACAGTTTGAATAATTGCCTCCGTGAGTTTATATATCAACCCCGTTCGAAATTAATATTTCTGCGAATTATCTCTCAATGGAATTTCCCCGAATATTATATATTAATTGGAAATTAAATCTATGAGTTGCGAAGTTCAGCACAAGCACCCTTTAATCTCGCAAACCGTGCTCCATGTTATTAGTACTTAGGTAATTTTACTAAGCTTATGAAATTATTTGCCTTCCTTGTTTCCTATATCGCATCAAGTAGAGTTTTTAAAATGTGCATACTTCTATGTATTGCTCGGCACCTGTTAGCAAGTTTATTCGTTAATTCACTTGACTTCAGACCATATAAGTAGATTACTGAACGCTTTGGATCCATGCCTACCCGAGATTGGGACTCTACCATAAAGATGGCGCAGTTTAATTAATAAGTTTTTTCTTTATTTTTCGTTTTTTCTTCCTTTTTACATTGGGTCTGCTAGGTGTCTGTACTTTGCTTTTTAGAGTTGTCTCAGTCAATAATTTCTAATATTTAAATCGCCGCACAGAGGGCGTCCTAATTCAGGAAACGCGTTTAGGAATAAATTTAGGCATTTCTCAAAGCGATTCCTCAGGTATTTCAAAGGACAAAAATTCATATAAAATTCGTCTTTGATTTTTGCTTATTTACAGCGTATTAAGAATTGATATTAACTTGGAGGTAGCGTCTCGTAAAATGAAATTCCCAACTAATTAATCAAATTTGAATTTCTCATGTTAAAAAAACAAAAATAAAACTTATCCTTAACTCCCTGTAGGTAAAAAAGGAACCAATTGGGGGCCGATGTTTATAAGAATTTTTTTTCTTAAAAATCTCTTTGTGATATATCGGATACTTACTAAAAAACACTGTGTATATAAACCAGTTTTTGGATCCGATTTTATTTTTTTGATTGATATTTATTTTTTTCATAAAACTTAAACAAAAGTTGTTTTTGGAAACGAGTAATTGGTTCATATAAATATTAGATAAAGTTCCTAAATAAATTTTCTTTAATTCTAATTGCTATTAATTAATATAGACGGTCTAGAGCTGTCAGCTACTAGAAGGGCAAACAATAAAAAAATTTTGTTTGCTCGACATGTTTCGATAAATAACATTTCCTTTGTTTTTAAATAGATAAAGAACAAATGTTTTTTTTAAGCAAAAATTGGTTCGTAAATATTTTCCTCAATTATAATTGCCAGAACATCTTAATTAATGGTAATCTTGATTACTGTTGACCGTCTAGAGTTATTTACTTAGCTACAAGACCAGCAAACAATTACACAATTAACTTTATTTAACATTTTTCATGGAAAACCATTTTCTATGTTTTCAAATGCACCAATTGGTTCGTAAATATTAAACATAGTTCCTAAATAAATTTTTCTCAATTATAATTGCCAAAAAATCTTAACTAATGGTAATCTTCATTACTGTTGACCGTCTATACCTATTACATCAGCTACAAAAACAGCAAACAATTAAACAATTAACTTTATTTAACATTTTCAAGAGAAAAACATTTTCTATGTTTTCAAATGCACCAATTGGTTCGTGAATATTAAATATAGTTCCTAAATAAATTTTCCTCAATTATAATTGCCAGAAAATCTGAACTAATGGTAATCTTCATTACTGTTGACCGTCTATACCTATTAAATCCGCTACAAAAACAGCAAACAATTAAAATATTAACTTTATTTAACATTTTTCACTTTTTTTTCATTTTCTATGTTTAAATGCACCAAAATTAAAGGTTTTTTAGAAAACAAAATTTGGTTCGTAAATATGGTTCCTAAACCATTATTCTTCAATTCTAATTGCAAGAAAATATTAATTGATGGCGAGCTTAATTATTGTAGACCGTCTAGAGCTGTCAAAACAGCTACTAGAACGGCAAACATTACTATAATAGTACGAATATCGATGTTAGTCAACATTCCAATTAATAATGTATGCTTCAGAAACATATGTATACAGTTAGCCAGTTTAGTTTCAATTTGGTTATTGAGACAACAACTCGAGTCCGCTGCCTGTCGACTAGACGACTGAGTGTATCCGTCGGGTTTTCAAGAATTAAATATGCGCACGTAGAAAACGCCGCAGTCTGCATGTTACTTTTGAGTTTTCGTTTGTTGTGTGACAATTTGTGCGTGTCAGTGGTTTACTATTTTATTAACCTATAACGTTAGCAATGACACCGACGGTAGTAGTTTTGTGTAAATACCACGACGGATTAAAAGCCATGCCATGGTAAACTACACGTTATTTCGTTGACGCATTCATATTAATTGCGCAACTTCCCCTTTTGGATTATTAATCGTTAAAAATATATATAATATAAATCGCGACCGCTGGCTCGGGGTGGTGGGGAAATTAAAATAAAATTAACGACTCGGAGGATGTTAACAAATGCAACACATGTGTGCATCAGATGTTCGTGAAAACGCCGACACCCCACTACTATTTAGGCAATTATTAAAGCGAACATTATTTTCGAAAATGATAGGAGGTCACTGACACTGATTTATTATATATCAATCGCACGTAATGGGGCAGGCTCTTTTTATCCGACGGCCTTAATTCTTTCGCGCCGCTGAAAGCGTTAAATCACGTTTATTTTTAAACATATTTCGCAACCCGAAGTTGCAAAATGATGTCATAAACAACGAAACAATGAAATTATTAACGCGATACACAATAAACTGTGAAAATTTTTCGATAGCTCCAAAGAATCGAAATTTCGCCATCGCTACATGTAGGATGTGCATTGCGTAAACCAATCATTATCATTACAAATCCCAACGAACAGCCGTTGGCTAACGTATGTACCAGCCAATAATTCCTATACGCGTTTATCTGGCTGCCTTTTTTTTTGGAGTTCCCGTTTAATTTTGCTGCGTTATTATGTCTACACCCGCGTTCAAGTCGCTTTATCAGCTCGACCAGTAGTTACGGGCGCCAGAAGTAATTTCATATTACGCTAATATAGATTAAAATGGAGCCGAAGCGATAACGCTCTCGCGATTAGGAAAGATAACGTCTCGATAAACAAACACACGTGATAAATTTGAACCGCGAACGCAAAGAAAAGTCACACGAAAAGCGGCTTAACAAATTAAAAGTTGCCCGGCAACATCTGTCGCTTAAATTATACTATTAAAGTCGTTTTATACATATTTACTTAAGCTTTTATCGCCGGCGAAGAAAGAAAAATTACATAAAACGAAGGTCATCGTATTTTTTGAGGTCACCGGATAGTTAAATAACGGACATTTTTCTCGAGTAGGTGGATGTACACAAGCCGCAACTATTTCTTTGGCGAAAATATAAAATTTCCCTCAAAACAGAATTGTTGTAATCAGCTGATTTTTGCTAAAATGAAAATAAAAGCAATTGGCTCATTTAAAATTCTATTTGGTTTTTATTATTTTTGACCTACATGATATTGTATTTATCGCTCACAGAGTCTTCAAAATTTACCATCCAATTACATTATCAAGGTCGTTTTTTTTCAAATACTACGCCCTGTATAATATCGTATCAAATGTTCTTTCTACTTAGCATTGATTTTGGCCAAGTTGTCATGTTTTTTTGTTTCTTTACCGTCAAAGGAGTTATAAACTGACTCCGGACTCCGAATATTCTAATGTGGAGACATTAATTTTTAATGAAAAAATATTACAAAATGGCAAACAATTTCTGAAAAACACAACTATAACACAAGAAACAAATACTTGTTTCAGCTTCCCTCTTCCAGGTTGACAAGTTGCCATTCTATATGGGTCTTAAAATATACAATCTTGCTATGAAAAGGCATAGACAAAACTGATACAAATATGGTATGATTCTAAAAAAAAAAACAAAGATTAGTAACGAAAAACTGTTTTCATTCGCTTAAATAGTTTCTCAGATGCTTATATACACTTGCTTTTATGTTTTAGTAACATGTCTCTATATACTTTAAATATTTACACCTGTATGTATATAACCCGCAACACATCATCCACAATATTCAAAAAGGCTGATCGTAAATGAAGTGCCTTGAATGCTTGCCATCCTTTTCTTTTGTTATATACGTTTTTTGTATAAATACATTTTTGTAAATAATAATAGGTATACATTTGAAGTGGGCTTCTTTTCTTTCCTCTGTTTTTTTTCTTATTTTGCATAGCTTGCTTTTTATTTGTCTAATAATTAACAAATAAAAAATTTTCTAATGTATTACAAGAAAGTTATATTATTTTTTTTCTTTCTTCAACGAACTAGTAATGTTGATATTTTATACTTTCAAAAGTGAAAAAAAATCTATCTATCAGTCGACCTATGCCCTTTCATATGTGTTCTCACATGATTTGTGTTTAAGCTATGGGATATCAATTTTTTTAGAATAAAACGTTTTTTTCCTAATTTACTCAAAAACCTTTAAGTTAGTTGTCATCATAAGGGTTTTTATTTTTGTTTAAATTGATATTTAATAATTTTCTTTCTTTAGATCCAGCAAAATCAACAATAAAACTTTTCGCCTTTTATTGGTGTCGCACTTCGTTTTCAAACGAATGCAACTGGGCGTTTTCCTTTATGTACTCGAACTAAGTAAACAATCAATAATGGCTCGAGATTAAGTTTATTTAATGACAAGACGGGTTTCTTTCAAAAACCACAGAATAAATAGAAAAACAAAGACCACAGCAAATAAGTAGTTTGTCTTTAGCGGTTTTAAAATTTTGTCTTGAAGACGATGCTAAATTAATTAATTAATTAAATTAAATTAAATTAAAATTAAATTTTTAAAAATCGGTAGGGTACCATGATTTTACCTATTTAATTCAACAATTTATTGTTGTATATTTTTTATTTTAATTGCACAAAATAAACCTCTATCAAAATGCGCTATAAGAATTTTTAGTAATTAATAATAAAAAAACCAGAGCAAGTTAGGACGCATGTTTAAATGGACTTATGTAACTTATTTTCGGGTGATAAAAATTCAATATAAAAAAACTATGGCGTACACATACCCATCTCGTGGTACCGTGACGAATAAAACAGTATGTAGTTAGGGCATTTATTTTGTTTTTAGCTACAAATAAAATAAACCGCGATTAATTTGCTCAATTTATTAAGTAATGGTAAATCGACAAAGTTCCGGTCATCGTGATGCTTAGCGTGTTTTTTTTAATCGTCAAACTGATCGGTTCAAATTTTCTCGATGAATTTTTTCCCTCTGGCGGCGAAAAACGCAACGTCAGATTCATCGTCGGCGTACACGCGTCTTTGCCTGTCTTGAAAATTATCATACAAAGTGTTAGAACGTTTCTTGCCCCTGGTCGTATAAAATGGCATCGGATCGTAGTCCTTGTGAATCAAAATCCAGCGCGGCTCGTCCACGAAAAATTTTTCCTGTAGATATTTTGGATCTTTTTTGCCGCGATTGGCCCAAAACGGACCTAATTCGTTTTGACTTCCGGATCGTTTCATACAGAGATGTTCCGCACATGTTGGTAGCATGTCTCCGCTGACATCGAGTATGATTCGCTTCCTCGGATCCTGTGCCTGCAATGGTTAATATTGTACAGGCCAAAAAGACAATGGACTGTCGTACGTTCTTAGTAGCTTGCGTTAAAACTTTTAAGCGTGCACGTCACGAGCTATTAAGACCAAAAGCCATGAAATTAAATAACTTAACCGTTATCCAAATTACATTTGAATAACTAAGGTGTGTCGGGCAGTTTGGACATCCTGTCTAATGCAACACGTCTTTATTAAATGAGTATTTCAAATTTTGTTGTCCCGCGTTATTTAATTTCATTAAAACACAACGCTTTTATTTTATTTCAACATTTTATGAAATAAAAATACAAGCACGGGAAAGCTGACAGCTTGAAGAACAGACGAAAGAAGTACCTAAAAATAAAGTACAATTAATTCTTAACATATACAGACTGACGTCTTAAAAAATGCATAATATATCTGAAAAACAATATCACTCACATATTATTAAGTAAGCTTTTTCGAATTAAGCGAGGCAGAAATATAAAATATTCTACAATTGGCGATTTATTTATTAAGGCGGGGTTCCAACTACCGTTTATACAAGATATTTTTTCTTACTCGCAATGTTAATTAATTTATGAAGGAAACTTGCTTTAATAAGCCATTTATTACAATTCATGAAGTTCAATATTGTAAATATGTTTTTAATTTTGGTATTATTATTATTAAAGTTTTATAAATTACTTTTGCAAATGAAGGTTTTTGGAGAAATCTTCGAGTACGAAATCGAAATTGGTTCCAAAAGAGGTTCGTCCTTTCCGATTTTAGGGGGTGGATACACTTACATGAGCGGAACATATGGAAATGAATATAACGAAACCGAAAAACGATATCATTGTATTGTCTGTCGAGAACGGCGTTAAACTAACTCTGGAATTTCTTCTCATTCCCCTTAAATACTAGATTTGATATAATTTTCTAGAGCGGAAAAGAAACAAACCCTGCGGTTACTTCAGATTAGAATTGGGAATAGGGAATTCTGTCAACAGCGTCCACATATTGTTTTCTGTCTTTGTTTTTGATTTCACCCCCAAACCTGCTGCAGTAGGTAGATTATTTACATGTCTGTGTTACTTTTCAGAGTAAAATTGAAGATGATATAATTCGATGCGATCGCGAAGTAAAATCCGGCCCGGAATCGAAACTGGACATCGAGGATTTAAGTTCTAATTTGAAATTGCTCATTCAACTCAACGAGACTATCAAGTCCGAAGTTTCGGAATTGCTAGCCAAAAGCAAACGTCACGACGCGTACCAAAATGCCGGAACGTTATATATCAACGGATTCGGAAGCAAAAATGGCGAAATACCGCACGGTACTAATGATGAAGACCACGTGGAAGTGGAAACCACGTTTTCCGATCTAGATTCTGACTCGGTTATTCTGCAAGTCAACGTTTCGACTCAGACGTCGCTTTCGTCATCGGTTAGCTCGACTAATTTAACGTGGGCTTCTTCCGGGTCATCTTCCGGGTCCGAATACGAGTCCTCGTCCGTAGAAGATAGAAATTGGACCGGAAGATTGCCTTGGCAAAGTGCCAAATTTTCTTCCGCACCTTTGCTTGAAAAAGCGTCCCCTTCCGAATCATTGGAGGTTTGTTGTTATACACACGCGACGCCCTGTATACTACGCGCACACGTTGAAAATTTTTGTAATAGTGAAAATGGCGTATTTTCGCGTTTCAAATATAACGTGTTAAAATTCCATTCGGGGCGATGATTACGCGTACAACATGGTGTCGTCGCCTTTGAACTTAAACTTGTTAACTGCGGATGGCTGACCATGCATAATTGATCTCGTATAATTTCAGGTGAGCAAGCAGTGCCGTTCCCAGTCAGATCGACACTTGACCGGTGAGTAGCTTGGTTTTATTTTACAGGCAACATGTCCATTCGGGTCAAAGAGTACAAGTTCTTTCGCAGTTTGAGTGTTAAAGTAAACGATAACTGGCCGATTAGGAAAGCGGAACAGTTATGGAAACTAATGCGGACCACTAAAATAGCAGGTTCGCTCGACACCGTTAACGCCCGCAAAACCCTTTTAGACGTTTATCGAATCCATCCCCTATTTTTAGCCGACGTTACGACCGCGGTGTAAATATAAGACTCGCAAGTGTTTTTGGTCGTTGCAAAATTTGCATGCAAGCGAGTTTTTGTCATTGGCAGCTCCACACAACATTTGAGCGTATTGGTGTCGATGTTGAGAATACGTATTGCTCAATTATCCACAAATGTCCCTAAAAGTGTATTGCCGACACATTCACTTTAATTTTGCGGCCGATTTTAGGGCAAAAACCTGCTTTAAGTGTGTTGTTATAACCCTGTACGCTTTAAATCGCCCCTACTCAAAATTAGAAACGACCCATTTAATTCGTAGCCATACAAAAACATCCAGAATGTACACCAACCACAAAGTGCAGTATTTGAACAGCTTTTTTTGTGTACAACTATCGAGCCACTATATCTCGAATATAATTCACATTTTTTTAGAAATCGAAGCCGCCGAAGCATGCAAATGGCTACGAGCCACCGGTTTTCCTCAATATGCTCAAATGTACGAAGGTAAGGAGTAAGAAATCAAAACGTATCAAAATTGGCAAACGTTTTTCGAGGGCATTTTTGAAATTTCAGATATGGAGTTTCCCATCGACATAACAACCGCAGCACAAGACCATCCGTTTTTAGAAAGCGACGCTTTGCATTCGTTATTCAGGCGTCTCCAAATTTTAAACAGTTGCGCCCATTTACACCAACAAAGGGGAGCTCACCCGGAAGAATCTGAAGACGAGCACTGCGCCCTGAGCAGTAACTGGACGTACCAAAAGGACATCAGGAGATGGTCTAGAACGTGCACCAAAGGTTCTTCGAGATTACTTTCTCGCGTAGTTTGATTATATCGTTTCAATTGTAGTTCCTCTCGAGGAACTTACCAAACGTTTGGAGAATGCGAGCATAGGAAGTCAGGATAGGGACGACGCGTTTGAAAAATGTACTCAAAGTCCCAAAGAAAGGCTAAAGCGAGCGGGTTCTAGTAAATTTCGGCGAAGGCGAGAAGGTATTTTGTTTAGCGAAGGAGATGCTTCATTCAGCGACGATTACTCCCCAATACGAAGTCTTCGTCACCTGGGCACCAACCACGTGTCCGATTCCGAAAGTACTCCTAAGCATCAGAGGAGGGCCAGGACTAAATCATTCGATAAGACGGATACTTGGCTCCAGGATCCTAATTCGGTGGAGGGGTAACAAGTTTTTTACACTACGCAATATCGATTTACCACAAAAATAACGTGGTCCGCAGGGTAGTGTGGCGGAAATTGCAAGAGGGGGGAAAACACAGTGAGAAAGTCGATAGCGAGAACATCCCCAGGGAGGCGGACAACGCTTTGGTGGACGTAGAGCAACTTTCGGCCGCACAACTGCAAGTGTTGGGGAAGTTGGCTTTATTGAAGCTAACCGCCCACATGGAGAAGTATTGTCCGTCGCACCGGACGGGGTGGAATTGGGATTTGCCGAAATTTATCAGGAAAATGAAAGCCCCAGCGTATAAAGGTCTGACGTCGGTAATGTATTAATTGGTGTGGCATTTAAAGTTTTTCTGTAGATAAGAATGTTTTCGGAGTTCCTTTGTCCGTGACGCTGCAGAGAACCGGTCAGGTTTTACCTAAAACTATTGAAGAAGCTTTGAGGTGGCTGCAACAGAACGCGGCCGATCAAATCGGCATATTTCGTAAGCCCGGAGTAAAATCGAGAATTCAGGCTTTGAGAAACGTAGTCGAGACGAACGAATGTATCGATTTCGTGGACCAGCAATCGTACGACGTTGCTGACATGGTGAAACAATACTTTAGAGATTTACCGGAAACTCTGCTGACTAATAAACTCTCGGAGACTTTTATTCTCATCTTCCAATGTAAGTTTTCGCCGTCGGTAGTTTGTAAGTAGAAGTTTTCCCTGTCGACAAAGAATTGAAAAAATTAAGCTCTCTCTTTCAAAAATCAAGAATATGTTAAAAAATTTGCTTAATTTTTTGAATTGTTCATCGTGTTCAAAGGAAGGTTCCCGTTTAAAAAAGAAAAACTCTCCATATACAGTGTGTCCAAATTATTTTTTTTGAAAAAAGGAACAATTCCGTCAAAACAAGTCTGACTAGACAATTCGCGAAGATTACTTTCTGCTTAGGTCTGGAATATCTTAAATTTTCTATTGTTAAACCTTGTAATGGAATATTAAGAACTTCATATTTCTTGAATATTCGAATCAACAAAATTTGAAAGCAACTTTTCTAGAATATTAAAATATTCTCTGAATTTTTTAAGTTTTAGGCTATGTAGAATATTTAATGTAGAATAACTTTTTTTCATCAACTAAGAATAAAAAAAGTTGGACTCATGGTGCTCACTTAGTTGGGCACCCTGTATATATTATCCTTTAGCGACTAAATTTTTCAGATGTGCCCATCTATTTGCGGCGCGAGTCTGTTTTATGTGCTATCCTCTTGATGCCAGATGAGCACACAGAAGTGCTTAAAACGTTGCTACATTTTTTACTGCTTATTGCAAAACATTCGGAAGTGAATCAAATGAACGAGAGCAATTTAGCCATGTGTTTTGCACCTTCGCTTTTTTATTATTCTCAAGCTTACAAACAATCGCTCGGTTCTCCGCATCCCAAAGAATTGGCGGAAAATAAAGCCGGTCACGATTGCCTGTTGTATTTTCTCAAGAATTTTGACTATATTTTTAAGGTGAGTGGAATACAGTCCAAATGGTACGCAGTAAAAAAAAACGAAAATTATTGTACCGTTACAGGTGCCTCTCGAATTTATCAAACAATGCAAACCTAGTGATATCAAAGAAGCCAAAGCGAAACTTTTAAATCATTTAGGTGCCCAGAACGGCGGATGGAGGGAGTATTTAGACGAATGCGAAGCGAATCTAATAAAAGAAGTACGAGAGAAACAGAGAGGTTGGATCGGAGTGACTAGTCACCATCCGAAAGTAGATATTCATTACAAAAAAGTTGCCGACGGTATTCCGTTGTGGCTGTGGAAGACGTCTGCTGAAATTGAAGCACCTCCTACCGAGGTGTTACACCGATTGATTAGGGAAAGACACATTTGGGATCCTGAACTGAGGTCGGCTAAAATAATTGCCCAGCTCGAGCCCAGAACTGAAGTATTTCAATACGTCAGAGGTTCGATTGTTCCTCGACAAGCTGAGGAGTACTGCGTAGTACGCACCTGGCGCGTGAGCATACCGCGGGACGGCTGTTTGCTGGTGGAAACATCAGTAGAACATCCCGATGCTATACCAGTTCCCCAGTCGACGAGAGGATTGGTACTAGCTTCGCGGTACCTTGTAGAACCTTGCGGATCAGGCCGGTCGCGTTTGGTACACTTTTCGAGGATCGATACTATGGGCAGAGCTCCAGATTGGTACCAAAAACACTTCGGACATCTGCAGGCACTTTTTTTGGCCAACATTCAGAATTCGTTTTCGCAAAACGCGTTAGGACCAGAAAGCAAAGTATAAACTCGCGGTTAGCGTAAGAAATATTAAATTCCGTGAGCCTACTTCTAATTGCTGGGAAGACATTTTGAGGATAGGTAATTATTATCTGAAAATCCCAAAATGCTACTTATGTTTTTACTTTGATATATATGGGCAGATTGTAGAAGAATGTTTGTTAATGCGATTCGGATCCTGATTCCTTTGAAGGGAATATGAATATGAAAAAATATTCCATAGGGTGGATGCGAATGTGGGTCCAAAGTATATTTATATAAGAAAAGATATATTTTTATAGGTACTTTCGTATAGGTTTGCAGATTTACTGTTAATTAAACTACATAACAATTTAGTCAATTTCTTTTTTATGTCGATGTTACCAGACAATTTTTAAGTAACGTATTTTATACTAAGAATATGTGATTTATTTTTATAAACTGACCATATAAATCTAGAATAGACACTCATACGTGTATACAGCAATTGTCACATACCAAACTAGTCAAAATGTAAATAAATATATTTAAAAGATTCTAAACCTCATATTATTACTGATAATCAATATTTTACATTTTAGTAACAATAAAGGCCAGTATTTTGTAATAACATATATATATATATTACCTCGTTAATATATTAATACATACTCACCTTGTTTTATTTTTCTCGGCGGTTTTAGGATCAGGCTGTAATTAAAAAAACGAATCGCTAGATTTTCCATTAAACAAAGTCATTTATTTCAAGAAAAAATATATAAATTAAATCACAGGCGTTTATATATTTTTCATATAGTAACATCATTTGATTTTTTTCTTACTAAATTACAACAAACTTTCTGCCACGTAACAGCTTAGACGACATTATAAGTACACTAAAATCATTAACGAACGAATGATTCCCACGCGTTTAACAGTAACAAATATTAGATAAATCATATTGAACGTGGTCCATAAAATATCAATAGAAAATAATTTCTAAATATATTTGATTATAGCGCAACTCCTTATTTACTCTTTCGAATGGGTCCTGTACATTTTTTTTATTAGATAGATGATATTTGATTTAATCTAGGGTAATGAATTCCTCCTCTAAACAACAAACTTGGAAATATTTTTATAGTAGTTTTTATCTAAATTCTATATTTCTAAGCTTTGGTACCACACAAGGAAAGCTTTGATCCTACATCGGCTAAGTTCACGATCAGAGAACCAGCGAAACTTCTTACTCTTTCAAATCCCTAGATGGTATTCACCGAGGCAGTTATATACTCAGGATGTTCAAAGGAAACGATACTCGAAGTATACACGCGGTTTGATTTCAATATAAAATTATGTGTTTGATAACCGCGAGTCAGGACAGTGTGGGATGAAGACCCAAACTAAGGGAGCCGTCACTGAATTCTGGCCTTAAGGGTTGTCCTAGTCGTGGAGGACGTCGAGATCTTGTACGATGAGTAGCAGGTCTACACGTGCAATCGCAATGCATTACACACAGTGCCACAGACGTGGCGAGAGTGATTACAAAGGGTACTGCAAAATAATGAATGATAATAGCAACTTGCTCATCGCGTTCGTAATGCGTTAATACGACGGTACGGTTCTCCCTAGATGGATAGCACGGAAAGGAGGTGCCTTCTGTCCCATAAGTTTCAGTAAAGTTGGCACACCGAATAGATGGAGGATACCCACAACCTTTGATATTAACTAGCAGCACAGCATCATCCGTACGGTTATCAGAAGCTGTAGTTTCATTGTAGCTGACGTAAATGTGTGTGCAGTGATAAGAATCACTAGTACAGCCTTCGCGGCAAGAACTCCACGAGCAATTGGCCAGCCCCGTTAGCTGCTCATGACGAGTTGTCACACACATAACCGGTTCTGTGACGAAGTCCGACGCTAGGGTTGATATAGCTGGGTCGACATATAATGGCACGAGAAAAAGTAGAGAGGAACCTGCCCCCATTGCTATTACGGCCAGCAGACTCGTTGAATAGAAAAGTGCCTGTTCCCGACATGATCTTGCCCCTTGTTGTTTCGTCTGTTGTTTTTTCGCTAATGCCAATTCCTTCAAACGAAAATGCATTTCGAACTCGGCGATTTCAAAAGGATTTGAAACGTGCACCCTTACCTTGATCTTTCGTTTCCTAAGTTCTTCCTGTTGATCCAGGAGCAGTTCTGAGCTGCTGCTCCTCATTTTATCGTCGACTAAGGCATTGGCGGTTCGCTGTTTCTATTTTTTTTTTCCGCTTTATTTGTATTATTTACTGTTTGCTCGAAAAAATCGGTATTGCTGAATACTTAATGCAATTCTCGCCTCGATCATAACGCGCCTGCGTCTGCATCCCTGTTCCCCGTTTATAGGGACGTTCGAAATAGAGGTAGTTTGTATACGGGGTTTTCCACAATTATTCCGGAACGATATGTTTTAAATGTGTATTACGCATTGGTTCCAAATACGGATTTTTCCCATTCATGCCTCAGTTTGGCTTTTTTTAATAAGATTTTTCATAAATCTTGAATTTTTTAACAACTGCGCGAGTGATGCCATATATGACAAAAATGAGTATAATTTGTAATTTAACAACCGACTCTAGTTAAATACCTACATTGCATTTCTCCATTGTTTTTTAAAGAATAAAGATTATAGTTTAAGGGATGTGTTTCAAGATAAAATACGTTTTCATTCAAATGCGTTTATTTTGGAAACAAGATTACATTATGCAAAAATATGTTTTTTATATTTATTTATATAATTTTCGTATTCCTACCGGCGACTATTTGCAATCGTTTAAATTTGTCTCGAAGCGGGTAAAAAAAGTCAACGGTGCATAATATCATTTATTCGACATTATAAATACATGTTTATAACACAGCTGCTAAAAACAATGCAAGTAAAAAAGCACCAGTCATACCCCTGACTAATAAAATATAATTATTCAAAATTCCAAAAGGCTAAATAACAAGCCGCGAAGACGCATCGCGTTTGTTATTAACCCTGGATTTTAAGACACTGGATAATTATCCTCAAAAAAACAATTCGGACTACTTGACAAGGCCTCGTATCATGCGGTGGAATTAATTTTCCACCGATGAAATTCTAATGATATGTTAATATTGTCATTAAAGTATTACAGCTAATTCTAAAGTATATTGAAAATAGTCTTGTACACGTAGGTTTGATGCAGCACTGAAAAGTACCATCCTTACTTAAGTCGAAACAAAATCTCAAGTGTGTAAACTATTGTCTATGGGACATATTCAAATACAATCTACAAAATTATAATCCAGTACAGAAGCGCTGCAGTGCCTTTAAAACGTTACCAAACGTAAGAATTACCGAAATAAAATATTAAAATAAACAGTACGGAACTTAAAAATGAGAAAAAATATACTCAAGAGATAATAAACATGTATTTATCTCTTTACAAAAATAAATAGATTACATATAAATATATAGATTTCTTTTACTACAAAAAGTTTTTAAAACTACAAACTTTATTCAACAAAAAATCATCATTAATACGACAATAGTTAAAAGGCATTGTTATGCAGAAAGTTTGAAAAATTACATTCTTAGATCCAAGCTTGTTAGATTACTATAATTTGAAAGAAATTTCTCAAAACTATGCAACGTATCACATTAGATATTCTTAATATTTAACTCTCAGTAAAGTATGCCACCTATCCTGCCAATGACACAAATGCATGAATTACTCACAGCCGAATCTTACAAAATTTCAAATACTGACTACAAAACTTATCTCTATTATTTTAAAAATGTATTTGCTTTAATGGCAGATAAAGGTGCTGTTAATAAAGAAATTAGCACATTTAAATTAAAATTATCGTTATAAACATCATAAATACAAAAAGGAAATGTACAATTTTACAATATATCTGTTCAACAGTTACATTATTCTCTTTACAAGAGACACTGAATGTTGAGAAGGCCGCGAAATCAACATTGACTAATAACTAATATTTACATTAAATATAAAATCAGTTTAAAAACTGTCGACATCGTTTCGCTCCACAAGTGCACGGTATCTTGTCCTCCTCGAATGGAAATTTGTAATCGTAAGTCAATTCCTCACCGCTTAAAATCCGACGTAAAGCAAATATCACTATATGCTTGTGGCCCAAAATTTCCACCACTTTCGAGTAACAATTTGGCTGAAATTGAAATGATTCCTAAGATACCGACAAAGGACAAAGTTGACTTTATACGTACGTCACATGAATGATTGATGAATCTAGCCGCATTGCCTTTCATGGTAGCATCAACCACGAAGTTATCATCTACTCTAAACATGTAACAACCGATCCCCTTCGAATTATACAACTTCTCCCTCTTATCTGTCAGCACTGACCTTATGACCTAAAAGTCAATACCTCAGAAAGTAAACGGCAAATGTTAAAATTACTAATTACTTCTCCCGCGTATTCGATAACCATCTCGCCGGGTTCAATATCCCTTAAGCAAAACAACCCTCTCCCGTGAATATTGGACCTGTAAACACCAACTGACCATTTGGACGTGAGTTTTAGGTTTCTAAACTTCATAGCCATCGGTAAGTTATTAACCCTCCTAAAAATTACGTATTCATTTAGAAACAGAAACTGTAACGCGGATGATAGTTACCTAGACTGCATGTTTTGTTGATCTAAGGAGGTATTGAATGGTTGTCTGTGTTTCGACGAAAGCCAACGGAACATGTCATAAGGTTCTGCGTTTTTAGTTCGACATGGTTCACATCTTGCCGAACCATAAGGGTGATCAGCCTTTTCCGCGTTATTTTGGTGCGGAGAAAAATTAAAGAGAGGTTTATATTTGCGACATTTTGAAACGTCAGGCAATTGCTCAATGAGATATCGAAGATGGTTGGATTTCAGACCCAACAATTGGACGGATTTGAGCATGTCAGCCGGGGGTATTTTCAAAGGGGGCATATTGTGAGCCACGCGTGCTTGCTGAACGGCTTCAATAACTTTCGTCCAGCAATCGGTTATAGAGGTCGAAGAAAATTTAAAACCCTCTTTGTTTTCAACTGTGTATAATATGGAAGGCGAGTGATTTGGTTCTGGTTCCCGTTTATTTGACGGTTGTTTCGGAGGTAATGGTTCTGAGACTAAAGGAAGTTTTACTACATCTTGTGGTTTGAGTTCATCTTTTAACTGTGCATGAGGTTTAAGCGGTCTAAGAGGTGCAATTAATGTCGGTTGCTTACTAACAATTTTTACTTTACAATTACTTTCCTCGGCAAAAATTTGTGACTCATTAATAAGCAGATTATCGATTTTGATGTCAGTGACCGTAATTTTATCACTTTCAAATTTTGGAACGTCTTCTTTAAATTTATACAACGTTTCTTTATTTACTTTTCGGAGTTCGAAATGATCGATAGAGTTAATTTTAGCGAATGATGCGTGATCTACGGGAGTTGCCTTTTGCGTTTCTAAAGGATTGTAACTAATATCAGGCATCTCCAAGGGTTTCACAGCTTCCGTTTGAATGGATTTCTTGTCTGGCTGTAACTTTACTGGTTTCTTAATTAAATCTAATTTAGGCGTTTCAATTTCTGCAACTACAGCGTCCGTTGAAAGTAATTTCTGAATTTTTTCGGCCGGTTCAAATTCTTTGAAACGTAGTTCCTCGGCTTTGTTAGTGATACGCGATACATTCATAGTCACTTGAACATTATTCAGTTTAAATTCGGCATTTTCCAACAATCTCGGCATTTTAGTTTTTGGGCTATCGATCACCTTTAACATTTCCTTGGCAAACATTTTTTTCTTATCGTCGAGTTTTAATAAGGACGCTTTCTCGATCAACCTATCGTCAGCAAATATTTTGATGTCTTCGACACTTTTTTTGGGAACTTTTACAGCTTTCGTTGGCATCGGAAGAACCCTGCTCATTGGGCGAGTATGAGAACTAGGCTGTTTAGGAATGGGAGGAACTATATTCATGGGAATACCCTGATCGGCTACGAAGGGTGCATTAGGAAGGCTTATACAATTACTATGTGACGATTGAATGGGTTTTTGTACTACAGATGGCTGAGAATAAATTAAAGCAGAAGGTTGTGATGTTACTACAGTAGGAGCAGCTATGGGATTATGTGCGTATTGCGATAACTCTAATTGTTGAGGGTTGACAAATAAAAACCCATTTGAAGACATATCTATTACCGGCTCCAATTTGCTTGTCTGAAATACCTGAGTAGTGGTGCTATAACTACTATTAGCCGTTAACACCCCAGACATAGTGTTAGGCAGAAACTGCTGACTTTGCATAACAGTATTTTGAACAATGGTCTCAAAACCATAGTAAATAGGCTGAGGAGGAGGCTGAGTCCAGCTTAAAGTACCGCTGCTATCCAGCACAAACTGTTGAGGTTGTTGGACAATCACAGTAGTGGGCTGCAAACTAGGAAGAATTTGTACCAACTGTTGTGTGGGGACAGGATTTACAGGAGCTGGTGTTATAGTGGTTACATATTGAATGTTATTAGCCGCTGGTTGCTGAAACGTATCCATAAATGGAAAAACTCCGGTAGTAGGAGTGGGTTGTAAATGTTGTACAATAATAGGGGCAGTAGGGTCAGACCTTGGAGGTCGCTGTCTTTGAACCAAAACTGGTTGGAGTGTCACCTGTGGTTGGGGTTGTGGTTGTTGAAATTCGATTGATGGTTGAACAATTGGCGTTCCTACGCAAATAGGTACTGGTAATGAAATTGCAGACGCGTTTTGAGATTCATTTAGTGTCAAAGTGGGTTGGATAGTGACGGGTTGCGGTTGTGATTGTGCTTCTGGGATAACATTTACCAAAGAAGTTTGGACTTGACTTTGGTAGGACTCAAACGACGATATCATAAGGGGTTGGATGGTTTGTGGTGCTTCATCGGCCACAACAATTGGATTCGTAATATTATCTCCATCAGCTTCAAATTCTGCAAAATTTTCAGAATCACTTTCACTTGTACAAATTACTTCGCAAGAATCCAAATGCCTTTTATAGCTAGCTTGCGTTCTATATGTACACTGACACTTGTCGCAAGTAACTGGTTCTTCAGAAGATTTCCAAACTCCAAATGATGATGCGTCAGTTGGCGATTCGCATTCGCTAGAACTACTCTCGTCAAAAGTACCGTCCACTTGCAATAGCAGCATTTTTTGCCTTTTTGGTACCGCTGTATCTAGTTTGCAATTTAAAGCCAGGCTTAGTGGTGCTACGCGAGGGATGCGTTCGGATCTAGTTTTAATACATTTAGAATCCAAATCTATGTGTTCTTCTTCATCGACTTTTTTGACAAATGTGTCAGCATTGTTGTCAGTATTATTACTGTCAAAACTTAAAACGTCTTCATAGCTAAAGTTTGGAAATATGTCTTGAACAGATATTCCATCCAGAATATCATGAGGAATGTCCTCCAAAATAGTATCTGTTAGTTCTGGAGAGAGAAGTTCTGTTCCATTTTTCTCTTCTTCATCTTCTGATTCCACATCATCCCCTTGTTTGACGTGTTCTCTTTGCCACAGATATAACTCCCTCATCGCCTTCTCAACTTGGGTGCTATCCAAACTATGGTCTATGGTGAAGTTTTTATCGACTGTTAACGTAGTAAAATTTGGATTTTGAACTGAAGTGGTAACTAAATATGGAATTAACTTCCAAGGTTCAATAGTAGACCAAAATATTCTAGAGCAAACAAAACCCACTGGAACAATAACATCAGAGCTATTTGAAAGAATAGGTTCCACTTTACCCAGTTTACTGATTCTGAGAGATCCTACAGAACAGACCACTTCTTCAGCCTCCAAACGAAGCTCCTGTTTCGAGATTTGCTCAATAAAAATGCTTCTGTTTATTTCAAAATCTTCGTCATTCTTTAAAATTGTATGGGCAGGGATAAAATTATGTTTTGGACAAAAACAACCCTTATTAATATTTGTGAAGGACCAGTTATTTTTCCTGGCACACATAAAATGGAAGCTGTCGTCTTTACAAATAAAACATTGAATGCTTGCACCAACGGCATTACAACCTGTACAATTAATGTTACGACATTTTTCTATAGTTTCGACTACGTTTTGTAAATGGTCGTCTATTTCTTCATACACTTCAAAAGACCAATACGCACAATTAAGATGAACCCAAGAATTATTACCACAGAAAAGCAATCGTGATTCTTGATGTACGAGACCATCCCCCACCTTGCCGCATAGTACGCAGCTTCTAATATCGTTCGTCTTGGGAAGAGGGAACAAGAAAAAATTCGCTTCTCTACTATGTGATGGGCTATGGCATTGAAAATATTTTGAATCACTTTCACTCACTTCGTGGCTATCTGTAAACCACGGGAATACATTTTGAAAAATTTTTTTGTATATATTCAATATCTGATCTGAATGAAAGCGTTTTAGAGCTTCTTCCATGTCCTCATTAAATTTTTTTACTGAGTTATAGTTGCAGAGTTTGCTTTTAATATTCTGCACGGTTTTAATGTTGTTAATTAAAAGTTGATCAACATCATCGCAGCACTCGAATGCATCACACGAATTAGAATGATTTAATTGTTTTTTAAAATTGTTATTATCCTCGTCAAGTTTTTCCACCTCTGGAGTTTTTTTTGAACCCAGGCTCGATTTTATTCTCCCCGGCTGATTTTTGTTACTTTTAATTATGTTCTTCGCCATTTTATTTTTGGCTAGCAATCTAATCACGTTACTAAAGCTCGAACACATCACCTTCTTCAGCGATTTATGCCATAGCATCTCTGAACCATTCAAACACTGACTACATGTAAAACTAGTAGAGGTCGGAAGTAGTTTTAATATATCATACTGCTCGCTAGTCAACTTCTCACATTCGGAATGTATCCATTTTTGACATTTGGAACACCCCAATACCTAACAAAACAAGGTAACTGATATTGGTAGAGTATATTCAAACGGACTATTAACAAATTAAGACGGGAATTAACCATCTTCATATTTCTAATTCGTAATTGTTAATCCTAAACATATTCTCAATTTCTAAACACATTCAAACATTTTCTTTAGCATAACCTCATTTTTTGTTGTGTTTACTTTTTTAGGAAATTGTGTATTCAACCTAATAGGTCGTATTTTAAGGAATAACTATAGGATTACGAATTAAAAAATTGGACAGTCGATGTCATTTATTTATAACTGCCCGATGCTACGAATTCGATTGTGTATTAAGAAAACGAAGTTGGCTATATCCCGGCTTAAATCACGCAATTGCATTGGCAGAATAGTAAAAATTAGTATCAATAGGGTATCGGAAAAGTGTTTTTGGTACATAGCTACTAGATACATGCTTTTAAAGCTAAAATCAAAAATATTGTAAAGGAAAGTTGAATATGCGCGCGCACACGCGAGAAATTTCGGAACTCGCTTTCAACCAATAAGATTTTGCGGCATTCGACGATCAAGATGGCCGCTGACAGTTGACCAATTTGACAGTATTCAGTTTTGATAGACAGATATTAATTTAATTGTGTGGAGATCGCCGTTTAGAAAGAAAATCGTCCAAAATGTACATAAATGTGTGAAATATAAGTGCATGCACGAAATAATCTATGAGAAAATGTGATAATCGCTTAAGCGGCATCAATTTTACGGTATGTAGGACCACTATATTATCTAATTATAATATAGTTTTAACATTTATTGTACTTGTCTGAAACAGCAACTTCTATTAACTGGCGGGTTTTTATTAAATATTATGTAGTTAAAGAAAGTTAAATCATCTATAAGAAGTGTCCCCACATTAAATTTATTTGCGTACTTACCCGACATGACCAACTGTTACTTTCAAAAGAGTGATGACAAATTGGACAATACATTCCTTCTTTTCTTTTGTCGATACATGTTAGACACAATGCCATATTTCCGGGAAATGAAAACAAATTATACGCCATTACACACCCACAATCATGACACTTCTGACATTCCTTACACAGCTAAAATATAAAATTGTAATAAAATGATCAATCAACACTACATTGCAGTGTATGTAGAAGATTGAAAAATCTGCTTAATGAACTAATTACCATTTTAAAGTTAGCATCTCCTGTATTGGAATTAAAACATTCATAATGATATATTTTTCGGCACTTGGGACAACTAATTTTATATTTATCAGACCCTTTGCATTCTTCACATTCAGCACATCTCATGCAAACCCAGTCTAGAGCTGCCGTTAGGGTACTTTTTGAAGGAAAGGCGTCCACACAGAAACTGTGGTAGGGCTCACAACATACAGAGCAAACTAACATATTGTCAAACCCGGCACTGCCACATAAAAAACATATGGGGTTTGTCAATAAATTTTCAGTGCCCATAACTGAGAAACCATATTTGAATCGATTTTCATAATTCATTTCTGAGGAGTAATTTACGCAAATGCTATCGCAAAATTCGCCTTCATCTTTGTCCTGCAAAAAAATGAATATTTAAATAATGAATTATTTTATCAAGAAAGTGTATTTGAAAATCGTAACTACACAAGAAAATCAAATAATACCTTAACATCTGCAGTTTGTAAATCATCACGCGATTTTTCTTTTTGAGGAAATACATATCCATCCACACTGTTTTTGTCAAAAATGGTGCTGTCATCGTCACTACCACTAATAATGTCGCACTTTATTTGTCCATTTGTTTTAGCATCTGCACTGGTTTTTTTTTCTGATTGGCTATCCAAATCACTTTTTTTGTCATGACCATTGCTGAAGGTTGCAATAGGTTGTCCAAGTACTATTGAAGCGCTTCTGCATACATGTTTAACACGTGGTCCCTTTAAATCTATTCTTTGCCTCTTATTTTCTGAATTTGCATGACCTGCATTTGCGGGAGCGGGAGTTTGAGATTTTTGTGGCCTGAATCGAATAGGCCTTTGCTTAATATTCATTTCAATATTCACTTTAGCATTATGTGGTGTTTCCACATTCTTTTGCCATAAAATTGGAGGTAGAGTATTATTAAATGATAAGTCTAAGCTCCTCATATTGATGGGGAGCAACTGCAAGAGATTCTCTTTAAAAGCAGATGGTAAATGGTAGGCCTTTAGACACATTTTTAGCCAACATGCTGGACATCTTGATTTGTAAGCACACTTGGTAATCTTCCAGTGCTGACTGCGTACCACAGGCGGGACATAGCAAGTACCTTGCCCTAGCTGACAGGGCAATATAACATTTGAGGTCTTATTCCCAACACTTTGCCTTTTAATTTGCTTTGAGATAAACTTTCTGCATGATTCACAGCTATAAATGTTGAATTTCCTGGCTTGCTTAACAAACCGGTAATACCTTACTGCTCCACAAACCCCACAAATAATTGTTCCTGGCCCATTATGCAATTTAGAGGAAAAAGGACCTTGTGTTCCTATTTGATTTGGCAATTTAAGACGCGCCTGACGTAGGATAACTCTGTGACCATTAGTAAAAGTCATTTTATCTGTACAAGAAACGCTATTATCTTCACATTTAATGGAATCACTGTCATCATTTGTCTTAAGTGATCTTTTAGATATTATCTTGTTTCTGCCATTTAAATTTTCGTTTAAGTCAATAAACCTCTTGTTAGGTTTGATAACTCGCGATGAGTGAACACTTCTTGTTGGTAGAATAAATTTCCCAGCAAAATTTGTTGATTCTCTTCTCCTTAATGTTTTAGAAAGTGCATTTCTCCTAGTGGCTATATTTGTGGACTTGTTTCTTATTTTTGAAATAAAATTTCTTTTTCTCTCATTTTTCCTGAGAGAGACACTAAGTTTCCGAACTACATTTGCATGAGGGGCACGTTTTGCTTCTTGGGACTGAGAAACACTTTCACTTTCTTTTTCTTGAATTTCTTCTGCCTAAAATATACAAAATCGTTGCGTTACCAAGGGTCAGTAATCACCCACTATTTCGGAAGGTCTTATTAACAGAAAACAAATCGCTTACCTGTTTATTTTGCTGGGGTGTGCTGATGACTGTCAGAACGGCATTACTGGCCACTATGCCGCCTAATTCCCCATTTGGTGGAAGAACATTGATTCTCTTTTTTTGACAGTGTCTTGATGGCTTCCCCGGAAATTTACTTCTACCCATTTTTTGAATTTTCGGTTTCACATCCTACAAAATATTGCTATTTAATATAACGCATCACGCATCCTGAACTAGAACAACAAATCGGTTAGATCGGTAATGTTGGACGCTGCCAAACGTCCAAACAAAGTATTGGTCGGTTGATGGACCAAAGTATACATCTATATATAGCCGGCTGGTACGAAGGACCAAAATTTGTACGCTAAATGACTGGCTCGAAGGACCAAATTATGTCATATACGAAAAAAAAAGAAATGTTTGGTAGTAAATTGCTCCAGTTTTATGGTAGAAAATCGAATTGCTAAGTGAGGTAGACCATTATACAAAGTCAATCTTAAGCTCCAGATACAAAGCGGAGTCGGCCTTGAAGAAAACACCAATAACATCAGAAAAAATGGCATATTATTATTATATAAAAAATTGACCATTGAGCACCTTGTTTAATTAATTTTTTAAGTTAATCATGAAAATTGAATAATTCAAAAAATAAAATAAACAATTCGTTAAAAAAAAACTGTAGTTTCCTTAGCCAATGTGAATTTTCCAACAATTAGTTTCGCATAAAACAAAAATTAGTATGTATTAATAACATTGCCAGCCAATCCCAATCCCAACTTATAATTTAGCTTTTAGGGTCGAAGGACCAAAGTTTATACGTTACATGACTAGCTCGGAGGACCAGAGTATGTCATATAGGTAAGGGACTGGTAATTTTTTATGGTAAATTGCTCCAATTTTACGTTTAAAAGTGGAATTGCTAAGGAAGACACTTATGTAAAGGGGAGTAGAAAATTAGTTCGAGTCTATTTGACACGAACGAGTGAGTTAAAAAGTTTTTCTATTCCCGTCTGTAAAATACCTAATTACCCACCGATCTAGCGTGCGGGAAGCGTCACTTTACCACGTCAGTTTCGTTTCCCACGAATCCGAGCCATTTCGGACATTTCCGTTATTTTACCGCACGGATTTGGGAGCGATCGGATGTTTTCGGAGATATTTCCCACGTTTTGAATTTTGACGTTTGTCAATTCTGATGGTCATGTCAGTGAATGTATTCTTGTTGTTTTGCGAAAATGTACAAAAAAACTAACGGTCGTAGAAAAAGTATAGTATGCAACACGTCCGGTAAACTTTTTAACACACTCGTTTATTAAAAACTAGCTCCGCTCGTGTCAAATAAACTCGTGAGTCAAATGTTATTTACCGTACTTGTTGCATAATATACTATTACCGAACGTGTTGCATACTATACTTTTTCTACGACCATTAGTTTTTGGGTACATTTTCGCAAAACAACACATTCAAATACATTCGCTGACATGACTGTCAGAAGAAAATTGCACTTGCACTTGCCAATGCCAATTTTTCAAAAATTGGTTTTAGAGAACCCAAAAATTGGTATAAAAAACGAAACGCAACTGACATGGTAAAGTGACGACGGTTCCCGCACCCTAGATCGGTGCGTAATTAGGTATTTTACAGACGGGAGTAGAAAACAAACCATTACCAGTTAGTTTTTCAAAGCAATGCGGTATCTGCTACAAATAAATATATGTAGAAATTGCATTGCGTCTTCCAGGCTTTAAAGTAAACCCTGTTTTGTTTACGTAATATTTAATAGCGTATCAATTTTACTTATTGCACAAAAAAGTGCATTTATTTTTTCAAATGAAGGTTCCTGCCTAACGTGATTAATTCTCCTCATTCTCTCTCTCCTCAGAGTGCGAATTTGGTGGTACGAGATGACGTTATCAAGAAAATTGATTCATTAGAATAGGCGACATCTGTGATTAGCTAGCCGAAGTGGTCAAAGTGGTTTGCCTCTCATGTGTAACATGCCATCAAGAACTCTATGACGGCAATTGTTCGCCGCCATTCTGTTGTTTAAATTTGTGTTTGTGTTAATTTCTCTACAAGTAATATAAATAATATTGAATAGTAAATTGTGTTGTGCTTTTGTCGCTTCTTGTGGTTTCATTTCGTGTGCATGAAACATTTACACAATCAGGCATGGTATTTACCCCTTTATTTTTATGTAATCAATTGAACTATAACAAAATGAGAAATTTAATTAAAAAAAATCATTCAGAATCATTTAGTTTTGCCTGGTCGTTACTGTCGCTAATATCTTCATCAGTCTCCTCAGCTTCTAATGATATAAGCCGAAGGTGCTTTGACCTTACTTGCTCAGCCTGCAATAAAAAAATATGAGCAAACTAATATAAAGTTTGAGTTATTGCTGATACTTTAACTCTCTCACTTTGATCTGATTGGAGTTTGAGGGATTCTGGCAAATTGATTGGTTTGGTACTGTGTAGTTGAGCTGATACATTTGGGGTTAGTGCTGGTATGAAACGCAACATCTTTGGTTCTTTCTCAACTTTACATAATTTTTGAGTGTACTGGGTGTTATGTACGATTACTTCCGAGTTATTTGTTAAAGACAAGTTTGCAACCTTTTCTTCAGCTTGTTGTAAAGTTTCTCTTAAATGTATCTCCTTCTCTAATTTCACCTTGGTTAGTTTCATTTTTTCACCCTTGTCCTTCAGACTACTTGTGAAATTGCTACAAAATATTTAGTGTTAGTGGTTAATAGCATTCTGTAATGCAAGCCTTGTACATATTTGAAATAATTTTTTCAATTCGGTTGAGGTTTTCCTTGAGCTCCGTCATCGTCATTTTGTCGATTTTTGAGTACATTTCCATATCCTATTTATGTGAATGAGCACATTTACATATAAACCTAATTTAACAAATAACATAATTTATTATCACGGATATCGTGATTTTACAGGTAAAACTTATAGTTCGCTAATTTTTTCATTACTTTCTTCTACCACAGAAAAGGAACAGCTGATATCTGTCATTAGTGTGATTTGCTATTGATCGATGTTAAAGTTATGTTGTGTGGAAGGAAAATCCTAAATAAATATGTTTTTAATTAGAAAAACTATACGGAATTCCATAAAATCATGTTCTAAATTAAAAACAAATCCGGTTCGCTTGTGTTCAAATAACTCTGAAGTAGAAACCACTAACAATATTTCATCTTTAGAAAGGTTTAATATTTGATTACACATATACAGTTTTTATAGAAAATCTTTTTAGCGAATACAATTCACTGGCAGACATCTGTTTAGGCTTAAAAAGCATACATAAGTGCTTAATTATTCAACCCTATGTCAAATGGGGTCCACAGAAACTTCCGATTACCCCCCAAGAACAATTAGAGGAAGCTACTGCTTTGATTCAGACTTTACCGGGTTGGCAAGTTCTGGAGAAAAGTTGTATTCCTTTAGATAATTTAGATAGGAAAACATTGTTTAAGTCAGGTAGTTTAGATAGGATCAAAGCTTTAGTGGAGTCTTCAACAATAAGCGCAATTTTTGTTAATGTCATCCATTTAAAAAAAGTGACAATTACAATCCTACAGGAATATTTTAGAAAACCAGTTTTAGATCGTTATAATATAGTAATGCAAATATTAAAAAATCACGCGACTAGTAAATATGCCAAGCTACAAGTAGCTTTAGCTGAAATGTACTATATTAAAAGAAAATCAGAACTAGGCTTATTATCCCGATCATATAATAAAGAAACTTTGAAATTAATATTTCAAGAAAAAGAGCAAAAGTTGAAAAAAGAGATAGATGAATTAAGAAGTCAGAGATCACTGTTAAGAAAAAATCGAAAAAAAATGGACTACCCGGTTGTCGCTGTTGTGGGTTACACTAATGCGGGTAAAACTTCCATCATAAAAACATTGACTGATGATGAAAATCTTACTCCAAAAGATCAGTTGTTTGCAACTCTTGATGTTACAGTGCATCAAGGTCAATTGCCATTGGGTTTAGATGTACTTTATGTTGATACAGTAGGATTTCTTTCAGATATTCCTACAAATTTAATTGAATGTTTTGTCGCTACTCTGGAAGATGCTTTACTTGCAGTAAGTGCACTTTGCACTGATTGAGAATCTGTGTCTTTGTATTGACAGGTAATATTTTTTTCTTGTTCCAGGATGTGATTTTGCATGTTCAAGACCTATCAAGCACTTGTTATGAATATAAGAGGGACCATGTTATCCAAACACTACAGGATCTGGAAAAGCAGTCCGGTGTAATTCAAGTTATGGAGAAAGTTGTTGATGTGGGGAATAAATGTGACCTTTTTACTGGTGCGAAAAAACCTGATATTCTACCTGTTTCAGCAAAATTCAATGTAGGTATGTCATCACTCTTTGATAGTAGAATCCATATTTCATGTGCATGAAATATGAATCATACGAATTATTTAACTAGTTAGTGTTTTAATTCAAGTTTGATTATATATATTTTTTCTGTTTTGTTATTAATAACACTTTTCAGATTTGTATTATAGGTATATATATGTTGTGTGTATTTATTTAGATTTTTTACGTGCTATGAATCCTTTGGTTTTATTCTTATTATGCTATTGCTCATTTTGTCTTGAATTCTTCTTTTTCATTTCTTGTTAGAATTACTTAATTGTTATAGCAGTCTTTAATTATAGGTTTAGATGAATTGAAGAATGTACTTCAGGAAAACATTTTAAAATTTACTCAAAGGCAAAACATAGTCGTTAGAATTCCAAATGGGGGCCAGGAAATGACGTAAGTCAGATTTGATATAATTTTTGACTGGATACGTACGTAATCATTCTATTGAAGGTGGTTGTATAAAAATGGCGTTGTCTTAAACGAATCGGCGGATCCGAATGACCAGCAGTTTACTTCACTTGATGTTATTCTGACACAAAGCAACTTGCAGAAATTCAAACATTATTTTAAATAAATTTGTGTTACGAATTGTTGGTTATTATTTTATTGTGAGCGCTTCTGGCATTTTTTTTGGCCGAGTTTCGACTCTTTGTCGCTAGCATTTCTCCAAACCCCTGTTGACATCTTCAGAGTGCTGTCTAAAACGTCAGCGGTAAAGATTTTTTTCCTAACTCAAAAAAAAATTAAGACGCAGTATACCCTCAAGTTTTACAACCGGAAGTTTCTTCAAAAAAGTATTTTGTGTATCATTTTGTTTAACAGAATTAAAAATAAAACAACCCCAATGTGTCAAAGGTATTTAATAACAAATAATATGGGAATGCTTATTATTAAACTCCTTAAATGTTCAATCATATAGAAAAACCATGCACACTCTTTGTTAATGTTTCGAGCGATTCTGTAGGTGCATCAGGATAAATACCGTGGCCCAAATTGACAATGTATCTTTCGGATCCAAATTGTTTGATCATATTTTGAACTAATTCTTCTAGTTCTTCCTGTGGGGCATAGAGAGCGCATGGGTCTAAGTTTCCTTGAATGGTAATATTTTTGTTTTTCAAAATATTCTTTACAAAAGTTGGTTCAACAGTCCAGTCAATCCCCAAAACGTCATATCCCAAGTCTGCTTGTTCTTCCAAACAGTACCAACCACCTTTAGCAAATAAAATCTAAAAATAGGTTAAAAAACAATCTTTCATTTTTAAGTTTATAATTTTGCTTTACCATTGGTACTTCATTGATATGTTGCTCCTTCAACATCTTTTTTACCGCTACATTGATTTTTCGTAAATATGGAATACAGAATGTTAAATACAAATGTTTATTCAAATACTCAGCATTACTGTCAAATACTTGCACTAGTTGTGCTCCAGATTTGATTTGCATTACCAAATAGTCTATAATTACATCAGTTAAAAGATTTAGGAGGTTGTGTGCCTGCTCCGGATATGCATAAAGCCATTTTTTTGCTTTGCTGTATGTTTTTGAGCCCCCTCCTTCAATCATGTACCCCATAAGAGTCCACTAAAGCAAACGTACAACTAACAAAACTACCAAATTATTGTTTAGAAACGTACAGGTGCTCCAGAAAATCCAATTAAAGGCACTTTTCCTTTCAGCCTTTGCCTGGTTAAAGTTATAGCTTTGCCCACATAATCCAAACGATCTACAGCACCATCTGTTTTTAAATCTTTTACCATTTCCAGGGTAAGAGGATTTGGAAGCACTGGTCCCTGTCAAATCAAGTTGCGATAGGTATATTTTTCTTAATAATTTATTTCTATTCTTACTTCTTTAGGTTTCATTTCTACTTCCATTCCGAGCACTTGGGGAATAACTAAAATGTCGCTGAATATAATTGCCGCATCCAATTCATACCTGTTTATAGGCATCAAGGTTACTTCACAAGCATATTCTGGGGTTTGGCATACCTCAAAAAAGTCGTGCTTTTGTCTAAAATCACGGAACTCTAAAACAAGTATTTCTAAGTTGAATAGTAATTATTTTATTTCATTTTTTACCTGGCAAGTATCTTCCCGCTTGTCTCATAACCCATACCGGAAGTTTATCAGGTTTTTCGCCCTTTGCAGCTTTCAGAATACGATCATTTTTTAAGATGGGAAAATCTGCCGCCATCATTCTCGAATGGTAATGACAATGCGATACTCTAATTAAAAATGTTCATCGAATGGATAAAAGTTTCGCGGTTAGCTCTTATTGACAGTTTACTACAACACGTGTTTTCGTATTGGTACGTTGAACCTGAGTTACAGGGTTGCCAAATCAATTTAATTCTTTGAATTTTTTTTACTGGTTTAGAGAAGTGCAAAAATATTGACGTGTACTTATTTAGTTCATGTTTTGAAGTGTTGAAGATGTAGTTTGAAAGGTAAACTTATCTATTTATGCAATTATACAATCCAATTTACTACTTCAAACAGTTCATATACCTTAATAATGCGGACTTCACCTGGTATAGATATATCGAGAACTGCTAATCATACAAAAATTGTACCCTACTCGTGTGGAACTTTATTTCAACAACATTTTATCAATATCCGACGCACAGAGAGCGAGAAAAAATATGCTGAGTGGCGTATTATGTATTATTTTTGCTTCTCCAATTCTGATTTAACTGGAGCTTTAGGTTCGTCAAGAAAAAAGGGAAAATTAACGTCATTGTCAGAGATCTTACTTTATTCAACACTAATCCTAAAATACTAATACATAAATATAATTAAATCACAAAATTTCGTAGTTACTAAGATCACACATTTTTTTCGTGTCTAAAATAAAATTCGAATACATAATATACTATACATAGAATACTGGAATACTTAACGAATACACTGGTCATAGAGAATACATAAAAAAATAAATAGTATAAACAAATTAATCAAAACTGGCAAGGCAGTATATGTAGGAAATCGAAGACATTTTAAATATAGTAAGTCTTTTAGTCTTACATGTTAAATATATTTAACAAAAAAATACAACAATGAAATGAATAAATATGAAATATTCGGCTTAATGATACTCGAACCAGCGGCTCCATTTGGTAGATCTGGAATCTCGTTTGATTCTGAAAATATGAAACAGATTTATGAGTGTTTGTATATGAAATTGGCGGCATAAAATGATGCAATGGTAAACATTGCAATAAACGGTTTCCTAACTATAAAAACGTGTGGGGACTCAGTCGGATGAGAACTCTATTAACGATGACTAGTGTTCCTATTATGGTGAGTTCTAGTTCTTACCTATACTTGTCGGATACTTAGGCTTAATTGTGGTAAAGCCCCCACTATGAGTTGCGTTGGTAGCGATTTTTGGAGTCGCGGTTTTTCCAACACAAGAATAAATTGGTTTCGTCTTTATCAACTTCATGCCATATCTTAACGGTTCGATATTTCTCTGACAGTGTTCACCCGCTTCTTTGATGTATATGTCCTTGTCAGTAATGATTGAACCCACGAAGCATTCGTAAGTACCGTCAGCCACATCTTTTCTCTCTGTGTAAGTGTACAGAAGAGCAGATTCTCTCCAGTGTCCAAGGCATTGGTATTCCCTTTCTTCGTAAATTTCTTCTGTATAACAGTCGGAAACTTGATAATACATGAGGTCTGGGGCTCTACAGTCAGACCACAATTTGGCACATAGATCGGGAGCGTCTGGAATTCTTCCTGTGTATTCCCCTGTTATCGGACAGAGGTTGTTTTGATTCGGAGAGGTAGACGTCCCTTCTAGTCCTACGAAGGAATTTTTTAAGTTGGTGAAACTCGCCATCAATAGTCGAGAGTCTTACGTCCTTGCGTAATCCATGAGTTGTCATCGAAATTTTCAGAAGCGCATAAACGGAATACGTCTTTGTTGTGGCTGGAATTAATCCCAAGTTGGAATTCTAATATGTTTTTGCTTCTGTTGGAAATTCTCATGCAGTTGTAAGATTCTTCGTCACTGAAAGGGTAGTTTTAGCAGGGAGCGAATTTATTAATAGAAAAATTAAATGTTAGTTAATTTTATTCGGTCATACCATTGCGTTCTGCTGAACACTAAATATTTATCGCTGTCTTCTTGGATTCCGGCACACTTGATGGTGTAAGTTTTGAAGGAAGTGTGGTCTTTGTAGACCATAGTATCACCTTCGACTCTAACATACTCCCAGTTGCCGTACATCCATTTTGGAAAGCTGCATATTCCGAAAGACACTTCGGGCGGCCACCGGTTTTCCGTTTTTGGGGCCAAAACGAACGTTTCGTATCCGTTTGTTGCGTTGTGAAGGTTGGTGATGCACGTCGAATCGCTGCTCAGTGCCATTTCTATTTTGCCCGTCACTTTATCTTTTTTGTAGAGCTGTAACAGAATTAGAAGCGTTTCGATACTCTCCGATAATAGATTGTTTTCGAGCTAACGCGAGAATTGTCTAGCTTACCCCGCAACGATATTTAGGACTGGAGCCGTCTATATACCGGCTGTCCGTAAAAACTAAGTAGTTTTCGTCTCTAGGCCCTTTCCAGTGTCCGAGGCAGTCAAATCTTAAATCTACAATCACCGACATATTAGTTAGATAACGCCGTTTTGTTCGATCTGATTCTGACCGGTGCTGTGGAAAGTGCAACCCCTTAGTCGAAAATTCAGAGTCGAGCCGGACGGGCAGGAATCAACAATCGAATTGAAACCTTCGCATTCTTGCGATTTAATAGTATTCCTCGACAGTTTGTAACTCGTATAATATTTACCGTCTATAGGGCAGTATTCTTTTGGGGTGAAAACACCCCCTTGTTCCTCGTCAGTTTCTAAAAATCGTAATTCGTCATTGGCGGTTTATGTCATGCGGAGTAAAATCGACGGAGCGAAAATTGCTGATAACTTTTTTTTAAGAAAACTCCTCATTCGCATAAAAACATTCTGTTACTTTTTCATGTCAAATGCAGTGGCGTATTGTTATTTTTTCTGCAATTCTCCGTTTTTCCACAAATGAATATAACTTTTTTATTTTATATGGCAATCATATAGTTTTGGTGCCCGTGTTGAGCCATTTTAAACACATGTGGTTATTGGTATGCGTCATGAAAAATGTGGGCCATGCATATAATAATAATTAACTCTGTTACTGTTGCGGATCATAATAACAATAATAAAAAATAATTAAACCTATTAGGCCCATTTACCTTTTTCCTTATTCTATATATACAGGGTGTTTTCTAATTGAATGTCAATTATAAAGGGGACGATTTTAAAAAGAAAACTTCATATGAACATATGGTAAAGTTTAAAAAAAAATGTTTTTTTAATATCCACTTTAGATATTTTAATTTAATTTGGAACATATGTACTATATATCAAGAAGCATTCTTTAGTATTCCACAATTTTTTTTAAATACACCAGTGGCGGGCGTACGAAACTTCAACTGTCTATTTTGGTAGACATTGATGGTACCCCACTGATTTCTCTTAACATTAAAATAATTCCTATAATCACCAATCATTTCTAAAAAAAATAATTTGTTGATTTTTTCAATCCGAGGTCAGGTTTTCGCTTAAATAAATAAAAAAAAACCTCTTCCCTGCATAGTCATAACAATATCGTTAATATGTCTTAATTAAAAAAAAAAAAAAATTAAAGCAAATCAGTGGCGTGCCGCTGACTATCCATGAAAATATCATGTTTTGGTTATTTAGGTCGCCACTGCACTGGTTAAGTCGAAAACTTTTATTGTGAGAAGTAAAAAATCTATCTAAAACAAAATATCTAGTTTTTAGTTACCAACTAGTGTGCTTCACAAAACAAAATATTAGAAGACTATTCTTTTTGTTTTTACAGTTTTAATGAAATAACGTGCTAACAAGATAAATAATAAACAATTCTTATTTAAATTGATTTAAATAAAATTTATTAGAGAAATCAGTGGCGTACCATCATGTCTGCCAAAATATGTGAAATTCCGTACGCCCGTCACTGGTGTATTTAAAAAAAATGTGGTACTCTAAATAATGCCTCTCGATACATGTGTACCAAATTTCATTGATATATCTAAAGTGCTATGACAGATTTTAAAAAAATATATATTTTTGAAAACTTGACCACCCTGTATCTCAAAAGTTAAGACGTTTAGGACATATGTTCATATGAAGTTTTCATTTTAAAATGTTAAAATGTTAAAATTATTGATATTCAATTAGAAAACCACCTAATACTAAAGAAAACGGTAAGTGTATTTATTTGCAGCAAGGATTTGAGGGAAACGAAAGGAAAATGGCGGCAAAACACACATTTCTTTAAAACTACATTACAAATTATACATGTAGCATAAAAAAATGTAAGAAAAAAAGACAGTCAATGTCAATTAAAGATGTCGCTTTTTTCTTAACTGGATTTCGTGTTATTTCATACATAGTTTGAACCGCTAAACTTAAGCTTTCATTCAATTCGTGACCAATTTAAATTTTATTATTTTGTATTCCAATTATCGCATTTGTTACATTAAAATAACGGTAATTTATGTTTCTGTCCTGTCTTTTGAGTAATCATAAATTAAATGGTTAAATTATTCTTGAAATCTCTCTGTGATATCTTAAAATGACATTGGTAGCTGTATACACGCCCTACAACAGCTGACTGAAAACGGCTCAACACGGGCATTTTTTAAGATTATGTAGTAGAAATTTGTATTCATTTGTGGTAAAACGGAGAATTGTAGACAAATCTGAGTGCGCCACTATATGAGAACTAGAAAGTTTTACAAATGAAAACGTTCAAAGCCGATTTTGGGCTATTTGATTTAGAAACAGATTAAAAAAAAAAACAAAAAGTATGACCAGCCTGTATGGCGAAAAAGGTGGCGTATTAATGGATATTTTTGTTATCATAAATAAGAGACCTTTCGGGACTAGCGTTCAATTAAAATTGGTTTAAATATTTTCTATCCACGAGGACCACTAATTAAGCAATCAAGATATCTTTATGCAGTTTTATCAACTTTATGCTTAAGGGTAAAAAAAATTGTTAAAGGTGCGTTGAAAGTGTGTGCTGCAAATATGTCATTTTTCGTTAATAACGAGACAATTATCCATGAGCTGTTTGATGCAACCCAAAAACGACAACGTGCGGGTAGCGGTAAAAAATAATTGCAATCTCATTAAAGCCGTATAGCGGTCCATAGTTAATCCATCAATTAAAAAGTCGAACCACGGTTAATTAGGCATTTTTACGTAGCCATTGTTTAAAAAATATAATACAGCTCG